TTGGGCACTGCTGTCAGAACTAAATTCCAGGCCACAATTTACTTGGCTCTCTTGGAGCAATGGGTAAGAGTTACCCAAAGGAGAGGTAAGAAAATTTTTTTTAGTAATTATATAAACATGAAAAGGATTGCATCAGTATGCACAATTCCTGGTGTGGGGATTCATCACACTGAACCAGATAATAATTTATCCTAGGAACTGCCTGAGGCACATAGAACTATCCAAAGATGAGAGTGGCTGCCCTGGGGCAGTAACAAAGTCCACCATCACTGGAGGCCTTTAAGTGAGAGTTGGATGACTTTCACTGGACGGCTATAGACTATTTCTGTTTAAGTAAAGGTAGGACTAGATGACCTCTGAGATCTTCCAACTCAGGGATTTTGTGATTCCAGGGAAAGGAAATCAGCTTTGAGAGTTATAACTTTTATTTTCACGAAAAATTTGATTTTATCCAATTTGATTACCCATTTTTCCCAAGAGATTTGGCACCCAAAATCAAATGAATTTCTCTCTTAAAGGGGAAGATTTTGCCTGCACTGAGGATATTCAAAAGCACATCCCAGACAAGATGTGATCCAGACATGTTTTGAGCAATGGCAGCATTGTAGAATAAACGTATGGTGCCCCAAGCAGATAACTTTAAAGGTACATCACTCATTTGGATGTATAAGGTCTGGTGTATTTGCTAAAAATAAAACTTTTTTAGTCACATCACTTGATAGTCACCCCTTGTATATATGCACTTACATATATACATGTATATGTACACCATTAAATATTTAGAAGAGAGAAGGGTACAACTATTATAAAAAGAAAGAAACTTTCAAAAGGAGCATTTTTGCCATTTCTTTGAAGAAAGCCACTTACTAAAATGCTAACCATTGTCATCTCCCTGCTGACCATTTCTTGGTTACTTACTAATCCATTTCCCAAGAAGTCCACGCTTTTGCAGATACAAATATTTTAAACAGTCCACTCACTGAACACCCACACTTTGAAACATTTAGATTTCTTCGTGAAGAAAAAAAACCAAAGGTTTATAAAACATATCCTGAGTCACCTCAGGTTTGGAGACAGGAGGTGGACTGACAAGAAGGAAGATGTATATCACACAGTCTATCTGGAAACATGCAAGAACATCCATGGGATTTCTCTCGCTACAGACATATCACTCCTTTGATAAGAAGTTCAAAACCGTAAAGAGAAGAGTGACGCAAAAACTGTTTTTCAGCTACAGACGAAAAATAAACACACAGAATTAACAAAACTATGGTACTAGAAAACATATCTCTTGGCTTGGCACAGCTCTCTGCTATGTAAAGGTGGCATCTCTGATCTTCTGAGCCATTGTTCCATTAGCTGCCCCTTGCTCATTCTCTCCTTACACACGTTATTGGGCTATAATAGGAATCTCTAGTTTCCTGGTGGGCGTTTACAGTGGGGATCCAAAAGACAATCAGTCCTTGTCGCTCATCTCCCTCTGTTATCTCCATGGCAACCAGAATCCAATTAGAATTCAGCATAAGGGTTTGTGTTTTGGCCACCACAGATATATATTCTCATAATCTTCATGATAAATGGGGGTGAGATTGGAAACAAGGAATGCATGGAGGCACTGAAGCTTACCTGGGAACCACTCAAGGGTGGTTTTATTCCCTAGCACCTGAGATTCAGGAGGAAAGCTCTCCTTCATGACTGTCCACAAGACCTTCTTTGTGTTAAGATCAGAATCCACTCTGAGCAACCAGTGTCCTGGTTGAAACCAAACTTTTCTGATGGAGTTCAAGAACACTGATAGACTCCAAAGGGCACCTGCTTCCTTCTGACCCTCACAGCTTTATTTTTAAGGGGAAAAGGGCTCATCAGCTTTCATTTCACTGCAGAGAAGTCAATGCTCCTCAGATGAAGGAAGTGAATGATGTCCTACTCTGGAAGCACATTCAGGATAGGCTAATTTTGGCACTTTCCACTGTCTGGATTAACTGACACCTGGGAAGTTTAAGTAGGCAAGAATTAAGAGGAAATGAAAAGAAGAAATTCTTGACAAGTTACGAATGAAGGCCCCTTCTCTATTTGTGGGGGTGGGGGTGTTGGGCAGGGACCTCTTCTGCTTTTAGACACAGCTAAAAAATCTAGTGTCAGAGGACTTTCTACCAACGTACAATATTTGGTATAGCCCCTAAAAACGCCCTTTGCACACACTGACTACAGAATAGTTTTTTTGATGAGTTGGAAGGTATCACCTAGTCGAATCTCCTAATTTTACAGATGAAGAAACTGAGGCTCAGATACGCAAACTAATTTGCCATGATTTCATCATGGTTAATTCATTCACTGTTGTCAATGAAATAATTTTAATAGCACTATTTCAGCATGTATATAAAGAATTCACTGATCGTTGATCTCTTGGCATGTCATTGATTCTCCACCCCAATATCATTCCCAGTGGTGTTCTATGATAAAGGCCTAAATCTGCTGAACATGTTGATGGAAAATCCTCTGTCCTAGTCAACACAGGAGAAATTTCAGATAGCACTTTCTTTTGTTAACACTGTTTGTTAAGGAATGCTAATACACCCTAATCTTTATTACTGATATCAATGGAAATTTCTCACCCATGGCAGCTAGTGATAGAATTCAAGGGCCTCAGTTCTGGACTTTCACCCCAATCTTCTGTATCTATGTGTGATAATACGTGGACTAATCCTTTGCCTCTGAGGGGAGGATGTGCTCATTTAATACTGATTAGTGTTAGACATCAATATCTTCAGAGGTAGCTATCATCAGCTTAACCCTGTTACCACTGCTAGTACAATGGATCACAGATGAGGATGGGGACATTCAATTCACTTTGCACCTCACTTACCTCTGACCTATACTCCACCCCATCCTAAAGCTGTGGCATTTCACAATGAAAGAGATGAGGACAGCCCAGTAATGGAAACCGGTATCTCTTAATCTTCAACCTGCCTTCTGTGGTCTTTGTCACATGAACAGAGAGCAGGTTTCAACAAATAAATATGAACAAAAAGTCCATTCTGAGTCAAAAGCCAGTGGTTTTCTCCTTCTTGTTCAAATGAAAACTCCTTCATTACTTTCATCTGGTCAGGTTGTGAGCTTATGTTCTGGGGAAGCCAAGATCCATACATCAGCTAAATTCCAGACTTGCCTCAAAAGAACTGACCAGACAAGTGGGAGGAATTCCAAAGGTATTTTATCTCCAGCAGTCAATTAGGTGAGTCCACACACAAGATTTCACTTTTTTTTTCTAGGTGACCATGGGAAAAAAAAGAATGAATGAGACAGAATAATAAAATTTGAGAGTAGGGAAGAACCTTAGTTCAACCCAATCATTTTATAGAAAAGGAAACTGAGGCCCAAGAAGGCAAACTGACTTTTCCATGGTCAAGTGAGTGGTCATGGATGATTAGAATGTAAATGAACACCTCCTTGGTGCTTAATAAATACTTGTTCATTGACTGATTTGGAGTCATTTTGGAGAGGTAGCTCTAAAACCAAGGCTCAGCCCCTCATGACATGGAACTTTCTAAACTTTCAAAGGAAACCAAATTGAAGTGAAGAAACATGCAATGTCACTTTGACCATTTCCATTCCACAGTGCAAGAGGAATAATAACTACCTAATACATCATCTATTTTTACATTCAATGTTCTCCCAGCCTTGTCTAGGAAAAGCTGATCAGAAGAATAAATATTAAAATGTCCCTACTATATGTGCTGGTGTGTTACTAAACACATTCTTGGCAGAGGGAAGCTAAAGGCTATATGGTACCAAATAATTTGCTGCTCATTAATAATCATGAGGGTGAGGAAGCAGTGTATATGTATGAGAAGATGTTCCTGGGCCCACAAGTACAAGAAATCTTGAACAAGGTGGCTGCTGAGGTATAGAAGGAGCTGGGCCAATTATGTGCCAACCATCACCGAGTTTATTAAAGCTTTGTTGTGAAAGACCCCCTTTTCTTATCCTCTTAACTGTAGAAATTTAAATAATGGGTTGGGTAAGAATACTTAAACTCTTTCTATATGAGGCCATGTGAGCCAGAAGACAGGCAGTGCCATTCTCTTAATGAAAAAAGTCATTATCATCAATAATATATCCTACTTCATCAAAATTTAACAAGAGTTTCACAGTCAATGAGTTATCATGTACATGAGCTAGGGGTCTGGAGTTGGGGTGGAGAGAGAAGCAAGACAACTGGAATATGGCTCTAGAAAGCTACTAGTTCATTACTAAGCACAGAAGGAATAATGAGAACACTTAAGATGATGCTCTTTGAAATCCTAGTTCTAAGAAGAAGCAAGGATAAGCTTAAGGTAGAGACAGCACCAAAAACCAAAGGAGGGTGACCTTCTTGGAAGACACTGCTGAATCTAAAATGGGAGGGAAAGAAGAGCTTGTCCAAATCTCCTGGAAGTCTGGATCAGGCCAGGGATTACTTAGGGAATGCCATCCCTGTCTAATTACCCCATCTCCCTGACATCAAATTGTACTTACTCCCACCCACACCGACATGCTCATAACCCTTCATGGGAAGCCCTGATGATAGTTCAGGGATGTTACATATAATCAGAATGGGTTCTAGGTGATGGATAAACATTTTTTTTCACTTATACAAGACATGCAGAAAGGAACATTGGGCCTTCAAAGGAAAAGCAATTTGGGAGCTTAACCAGTCTTAATCAGAGAATGGTTCTGAACAGATCTTTGCCAAGAGATACCTTTTCTATACAATAAAAACGGCTACTTTCTGTTTTCTGTTAAATTCCTTTCCAAATCCACACTTATCTTTGCCTTTCCCTCTCTTTGCAATAATCCAGAGTACTTTCACTCATCTTCAGTCATGTAGGTCTCCTGTTTCCATCTACCTTTAAAAATAAATGTGTTTTGAGAGTCTGAAATCCCTATCCTTTTGAATTGTTCTTGAAATCCCACCCACCAACCTTCTTGGTCTCCCTCCCTCCCTCCCTCCCTCCCTCTCTTTCCCATCCCCCTTTCTCTGCCCTAAAACACTTTGCTTGGGCATCATTCCATGGGAAGTTCCCTGGGGGAGAGGGTAGCTCCTAGATGAGAACTTCCATCATCTCTCCATCTGGAAACTCTGGTTTATGAAGCAAACTGCTGACTCGGCCTTTGTTCTCAGGAGGCTTCCCCTGGCTAGGTGAGGTCTCTGCCAAAAGAAAGAGAAAGATAGATATACATATATACATATACACGTACATATAGGTATACACACACACATACACACACACATATATATGCACCCATATATATGTATATATAGGATAGTGGCCCATTCATCAAAGGAAAACCCAGCTTTAGAAGCCCTTCTTCAAAACCAAACCCTTTCAATCTCATCAAGAATGTTTAGGGGAGAGGGGAAGGAAGGAGGAAAGCTAGTATTGTAAACATCTTTTTAAACTTGCCCTCAAGTTTACAAGTGGGATCCAAGCATGACTCTTGTTCCTTTCACTGTGCCTGTTCATCTTTCTCCTTAAATTACCTTCCTCCCCTCCCCACCACTGCACATACTCTTGAGCCAGATTTTGGCAAAGATGTCTCTTATGTTCAAGTAACTCCCTCAAAGCTAAGGGATTCTATTGTTTAGAACAAGAATAAGGCACCATTAGTATATTTTCAATGAACATAGAGTTCATTTTTTTCTCAAATCAGAGCTGTGAAAAACTGCCCTCCCCCCAACTCCTCCCAGAAGGTCTAAATTGAAATCACCCTTTCCATACAAAAAAGCAGCCTTCTCTTGGCTTTGGCAATGAATAGAATATACTTCTGTAGCCACTGAGTGTTCAGGAAATGTTGATGACAAAAGCTCACACACCCTGAAAAGCCTTTTCCAAACTCCACAGTCGTATCCATGCATCATAGGGAGACATGTTAAAGCCCTCATTGGGATAGGGACAGGATCTGTGATTTCACTGGTATAGGACAATGATGTCAAATTCAAATAGAAACCGATTCCTGCCCACAGCATACTGATGTAGAAAACCATAAGTTAACATTATCTCTGTTGTACTGTATTTGTATTCATTTTGTTAAATATTTCCCTGGTTCTTAATGGAGCTAAAAGTTTGATACCTCCGGGCATAGGGGAACTCCCAGGTGAAGAAATTCCCACTACCAAGGCAGATGAGTACATTCTTTGCAAGTTATAGTCTTAGAGAATTTCTTAAAGCAACGGTGTCAAATTCTAATAGAAACTGGAGTCACTATATATCCACAAGGATTCCTCAAGGCCACATCTGGACTCAGAAAACCACACATATTTATACACTGTACTTCTTTTTTTTATTAACATATTAACACATTAAAATCAGATTGGAACTGCATTTTAATTTGGGTTATGATTGTGCTTGGGAGTGCTGTAGGCTACATCCACCCTGTGTTTGCCACCTCAGGCCTATAGCCCCCAGAGCTTAAGGGCTTTGCTCAGGTTCACAAAGCTAGTGTGTATCAAAGCCAGAAGCAGGATCTGAATCTAGGTCTTCCTGTTTCTGAATCTAGTACTTTGTCTAGTACACCACTCTTGCTCTCATGCTTAAAGAAATTTTGTTTTCCATCCTTCAGGGAGGGAGTTAAGTTTAATAATAATTAAATAGAAAGCCAGGATGACTTCCCTACCTATGATCTTTCTTGACCCAAGCTTTACTCTCTGCCCTTCTCCTCCCCTTACTGGATAGAAAAGTTCAGATCCTACAGGTGGGGAAATACTCACCTAACTTTTCTCCAGTTCCCTTGGCCCCAGTGTGTTTCAAGATGGGGCTGTTTGAAGGGGTAGTGCTCAGCTTGCCACGACTAGGGAAAGTAGCCATGCTGGACCAGAAGAGTTCAGAGCTCTTGTCGGTCTGAGTGCTGCTGTCTTTGCTGCCCGTTTTGGCATGGGAGCTGCCGACCAGAACCATGGAAGCTGCTGGGGACAGAGATGAAGCCGCTGGCGGTGGCAGGGGAGGAGGTGTTGGCAGCAAGGGAGTAGAAGCACGGTCATGGTGCTCTTTCCCTAATAGCAATCCTGAGAGTGAGAAAAGAAACATCTTTCAGCATCATGAGTCTCTTTATTAAGCTTGGGCAAGATATCCCTTCTTAGCTAAAGCACATAGACAATGGGTTTGCTGTCTGGTGCTAATTTCTTTAGAAAGCTGGCCTCCCTCATAGGTGATGTGTTCAGTGGCCTAAGAACATTTTCTCCACTGGCCTACTGCTATTTCTGAAATTCTCACCATTATAGCCAATTCCTTGGCTGTGACTCTATGGTTTCACGTAGACCCTTGCTGCAAAGCAAACTGCTTTACACTATTCTCCAGTCCATGACTGGTTTGCCAGATTAGTTAGGAGATGAAGGAAGAAGAGGTACATTTTTATTGACCTTGGGGTGAGAAGGAAAGTTAAGAGAACTGGGCCACAGCAGAGCAACTCCAATGGGATGAGGACACCCTGAGCATCTAGGATTGGCCAAACTGCTCAGTGCTCATGAGGAGCTAGTCCCCTTTCCTTGACTATATCCCCCAGACGATGCCTAAGGCTATAGCTATTGGAGGAGGGAAATGAGTCACCCCAGACATGAAGGTCTTCAGATGTTTCCAAGCAAAGCTGGGCTGGTGATCTTGTCCGGAGACTGGGGCAGCAAGGAACAAGACACAGGGCACATGTGTGCTCCTGAGAAGAATATTCAAAGAAGGGCTAATTTTTCAAAGGAGAAACCCCTGTCAGCTGTGAAAGTTTTTAGTGTTGGAGCCATATCTTTTAGGAAACGCTGTCTCCAAAAAGTGATGGGGCTTATACATAGACCATTAAGTGCTATTCATCATAGGAGCATAGATTCAGAGTGTGAAGGGACTCCTTCATTTTACAGAAGAAGAAACGGAGGCCCAGGGGTTAAGTCCAAGGTCACACAGGCAGTAAGTATAATAGATCAAATAAAGACAAGTCAACAAGCATTTATTAAATGCTAAGCGCTGGGGCAGAAAGGCAAAAACAGCCCCTGAGGTTCTCAAGGAGTTCACAGTCAAATGGGGGAAACAATATGGAGCAACCGACGGAAAAACAAGATACACACAGAGATAACATGGCCCTGATCACAGAGGGAAGGCACTAGCGAGCATTAAGAGGGCCTGGGAAAGGGGTCTGAACTCAACTCCTTGGAATTCAGAGGCAATGGGCTTCCCCCTGTACCATGATGCTTTCCAAGCCAGTTTGTCTTAGTTTGGGTAATTCATAAATCACCTACATCAGCTAGGCTTACACATCCACTTTCCCAGAGCAGCCTAAAGAGTGATTTATAGATTTCCTATAACTACACACAAGTATCCCTTGACCTGAAGAGAAGCCTACTCAAGATTTCGTTCTGGTTGGGGCCGCTAGGTGGCTGAGTGGATAGAGCACTGGCCCTGAAGTCAGGAGGACCTGAGTTCAAATCTGGCCTCAGACCAAACACTTGACACTTACTAGCTGTGGGACCCTGGGCAAGTCACTTAACCCCAGTTGCCTGAAAAATAAATGAATAAATAAAAGGTTTTTTTTTTTCTGATCAATCACCGCAAATCAGGGCATCTCAGTTTTGCCAGGACAATTAGGAAACTTGCCTAAGCCCCTTCCACAAATCAGAATTGGATGTTATGGGGTTTCTATCTACCTCCTTTTAAAGCCAATTGAGATATGTGTCTCAGAGCCCTAATTCAGCAGTAAATATTGGGCTCTATGTGTCTAGTCATTACTGAAGGCAGAAATGGGAAGGAGGGACAAGCAATGGGAGCCACAGAAACATTTCTTAAGGGCCTAAGTCTCAAAATCTGTTGCAAGGAAAAACTTACTAACGACCAGAGTTGTCCAAAATAGGAATGGGCTGCCGGAGTCCGCCTCTTACTGAAGGCTTTCCATACAGATCACATGTCCAGGGATGGTGCAAAGGGGAATTTTGTTCAGGTAAAGGTTAGACTAGGAGACTTTTGAGATCCTTTCCAGCTCGGAGATTCTAGGTGAATGTGGTTTTGATGGCAGCCCTATTCTATGCTTGGAAGGCTGGAAGGGGAGAGGGTAGGCAGGAGGAGGATAAATGCCTAGATGGTTAGATGTCGTAAACTGACTTCAGGCTGGCCTCCTTTTGCCACATTTCCAGCTGTCCTTGATCGTGCCTCTCTTTCCTTGGGTCTCCAGCAAGCCTCTCTATCTGTGAGTTGGAGCACAATTGCCCTGGAAGGGGTCTTTGATGAGCACAGCTGCTGTCCACATACCCTCTTTGAAGTCAATTTCCTTTGGTGGGGGGGCTGCTGAGACAAGGCTGTGGAGGGACTTCAAACAGAGATCCTGGCTGGGTAGCTTTGATCATCAGACTTCTTATTCTTTATATTCCCTTATGTTCTTAACCCCCCTGGCACTAAGCCAGGGTTTGGAACCCCTATCCCCACCCATTCCCCCTCATCCCTGTCAGCAGTACCAAGGGAAAATAGCACACAGGGCACAAATTCTGCTCCTAACGAGAATTTTCAAAGGAGCCTAATTTGTCAGAAAACTGCCCTCCCCATCTTATCCCACTACTCCAGCTGCTTTGGAAATTCAGCATGGGAGACTGGAGGGATTCTGTAAGGAAAAGTTGTCTAGGATTGTGCCTATGGCAAAACTCTTATTTCTAGGCCTCCTTGATCCCAATTTTTTAATGCAAATCTAGGCATTTCTGCCAGAACTCCAGTGAGGAGAGCACTGAACTTGGGAGTCATGGGACATGAGTTTGAATCTTGAGTCTGCTATTTTACAGCCTGTGTGACCTTGGACAAGTCACCCAAATGGACTCTCAGATCACTCCATTTTGCAGCTGCTGCCTGGTTTCACGGAACTCCATGGAACAAGATGCTCTGCACTGGGGACCCCCTAGTGTCCCATCCCCGATCCCCCATCTCTGCTTTCCTGCCTCCATAAGTGTGTCATCTCCCCTTTGGGATTTTAAGCTTGTCAAGGACAGGGACTACCTCTCTTTTTATTAATTGTATCCTCAGTGCTTAGCACAATATCTGGTACATAGTAAGTGCTTAAGAAATGTTTATTGGGTTGGAGTGGATGGGACCTAACTTGTCTGAACCTCTTTTCCTGATCTGTAAATGAGGAAGTGGGATCGGATGACATCTAACACACCTTTTGGTTCTAGACCTATGAGCCTATTAGTGCCCACCTCCCTCACAAAGCCTCGCGGAAGTTCCCTCCTCCATAAGAGGAATAACAAATGCTACACGGTCCCCTAATGTCCTCCTCTCCTGCCTCAATGTGGTACAGAGGTGCCTCACACCTCAAAGGCTGTGCAAGCTCTGGCAGGTCCCATGAAGCTGGAAGGGGTTTGGGTTTGGACCTGGCCATGGGCTTGTGTGTCTGCCTGCTGAAAACCAGCCTAGCAAAGGACCGACGGAATCCTCAACCAGAAGCTTAGCTGTGAGTGGAGAAATACATCGGGCCAGCACGACTCCTGAAACTGTCTGCTACAGGTCAAAAGGACTGCAATGTATTAGGAAAGGATGAAGTATCATGTATTTCTATGGCATATTTCCCTTTTCAAAAGACTTTGGAAGCTATTATTTCCTTTGCTGCTCTCCTGTGAGATACACCGGGAAGTTATTAGTCCCCATTTCACAGGAAGCAAAGTTAAGTGATTCACCCAAAGTTTTATCCAATGTAGGCCTAAAATGCTGGTCTCCAGCCCCTGATCTTTTTCCTTTGAATTGTCTTGCCTCTCACAAGTTCTCATACAACAAGACACTCCATATCTCCTCACACCATGCATTTTCATGGGCTGTCCCCCATGCCTGGAATGCTCTTCCTCCTCACCTCTAGCCTCCTGGCTTCCCTGGCTTCATTCAAGTCTCAGCTGAAGTCCCATTTCTTCTAAAAAGCCTCTCCAGCCACCCTTAATGATGTCTTTCCTCTAATTTTTCCTGTTTGTACACAGTTGTTAACATGTTTCTTCTCCCATTAGATGAGGAGCACCTAGAGAGCAGGGATTGTTTTTGCTATTCTTTGTATCCACAGTGCCTGGCACACAGTAGGTGCATTTAGTAAGCACATGTTGCCCTCCTCTGTATCTGCAGTGCTTAGCCTGATGCCTGGCACACAGTAGGTGCATTTAATAAGCACATGTTGCCCTCCTTTGTATCTGCAGTGCTTAACATGGTGCCTGGCACACAGTAGGTGCATTTAGTAGGCACATGTTGCCCTCCTCTGTATATGCAGTGCTTAGCATCGTGCCTGGCACATAGTGGGTGCATTTAGTAGGCACATATTGCCATCTTTGGTATCTTCAGTGCTTAGCACGGTGCCTGGCACATAGTAGGTACATTTAGTAGGCACATGTTGCCATCTTTTGTATCTTCAGTGCTTACTTAGCATGATGCCTGGCACGTAGTGGGTACAACTATTAGGTACATAGTAAGTGGCATTTATTAAAATGCTTACTGATGGACTGATTGGTATTTCACTATGATCTGTTGTTCAGTAAAGAGAATATTCAGAGGTATGGAATTTACCAATGCTCCCTTTCCAGGTCCTCTCTTCCTTCTTCTCCTCAGCCAACTGGTTGCTGGTAAGAGATGTCTGGCGTGAGTGTGTGCCAGTGGCTGCAGCGATGGACGGGACAGAGCGGGCAGGACGTAAGCTGGAGGCATCTGTCTTTCCTGTGTCTTTTCTAGATCGCTGTTGAAGGACCTTAATCATGGCATCTTTCTCTATGATCTTGGCATGAAGATTTTTTATGCTGGTGAGAGAGTAAGAGCAAAAAAACCCCTAGGTTACAGACAGAATTCTCACGTGTCCCAACATGTTAACAACTTCAGAGAATAGGTGGAGTTACCGGTACCACCTTCAAAGTAGAATCGTAAGACGCAGGAGCAGGCAGAGAGTCTGTACCGACACCGCTCTTGTTAACATAACCTCAGTTTTAAAGATGGGTTTTGGCATAAAATTACATGGATATTTAGAAGCTACACGTGCCAACTTTTCCTTTGTAGACAACAGCTACATCTTCCTCTCCTCTCTTTAGGTGCTTCCTTTTCTCACTCAGAAAGCACTAGCTCAATGTCACTCTTATATTTAGTAGCCTGGTACTCTGGAGTCAATAAGACCTGAGTTCAAATCCAGACTCAGACATTTAATAGCTATGTAACCTTGAGCAAGTCACTTATCTTCTGTTTTAATCAGTTTCCTCAACTGGAAACTGGACCTTCTTTTAGGAGTTTTTTTTTTTTTTGGCTAGGCAATGGGGTTAAATGACTTGCCCAGGGTCACACAGCTAGTAAGTGTTATGTGTCTGAGGCCGGATTTGAACTCAGGTCCTCCTAAATCCAGGGCTAGTGCTCTATCTACTGCACCACTTAGCTGCCCCCAAACCAAACTCGTATGAGACTAGGATGAGGTACATATTGTCCTCATCATCCTGTCTGCTACTCTAGTTAGTAGGACACTTCCACTGAGCCTTTGGAATATAAATTTAACATCCTATCCTTTTCTTTCTTTCTTTTTTTTTAAAGTGAGGCAATTGGGATTAAGTGACTTGTCCAAAGTCACACAGCTAGGAAGTATTATGTGTCTAAGGCTGGATTTGAACTCAGGTTCTCCTGACTCCAGGGCTGGTGCTCTATCCACTGCACCACCTAGCTGCCCCCTTCTTTTAGGATTCTGGAGCAAGTGAACATGCAACGGGCCTGCACAAGTACTCTAGTGCAAGTGACCAGGGATCTGGAAAACCATTACAGGTCCATTTCTGACTCGTTGGCAGAGAGCTGGTAGATTAAGGTGAAGAATGAGGTATGCATTTTCAGACATGATCAATGGGATTATTTGTTTTCTTGACTTTATTTGTTACAAGGGAGGTTTTATTACAGTGATGGAGGAGAAGAGAAGTTAGAGGAAAGAGATGGTGGGGGCAGCTAGGTGGCACAGAGGACAGAGCACCGGCTCTGAAGTCAGGAGTACCTGAGTTCAAATGCAGCCTCTGACCAAACACTTGACACTTACTAGCTGTGTGACCCTGGGCAAGTCACTTAACCCCAATTGCCTAAAAAAAAAAAAGAGATGGTGATATTAAAAAATATCACTATATATTAAAAAAAGAAAAAGGAAATTTCTATGGTTTCAAGGGAAACAAATGGTCAGAGCTGCTAAGCTTCATGGTAAGAACTGAGCAGTGGGGCCCTTACGTGTATTCCATGTCCTGGCACCTCCTATTGGCTTGCACAACTTCTTCCTCCTCCTGCCAGATGCGGACCTCTAGGGAACTCTCACTGTAGCTGCCATTCCTGGAGTGGTTGATGATTGTGGCATCCCTGATAACAAAAGACACAGAAAACACACTTTTATTATTTGGCATGGCCTGATGAGAAATGAGGTGCCTAGTCTTTCAATACCATCAGATATCAGCTTCTATCAGCCTCACAGATAGGGATCTCTTCCCTAGCTGGCTGACAAAATACCCCTGATTCCATCTACATTGTGAATTATTGGTTTAATATCAACAATCTACATTTATATTGGGCTCTAAGATTCACAAAGTGTTTTCTTCACAACAGTCCTGTGGGATTAAGCAGTGATAGCACTATTATTTCCATTGCCCAGATGAGGAAATTAAGGCTCAAAGAGCTATGTGACTAACTCAAGGTCACATAGCTAGTAAGAGGGGTGTATGTTGGATGTGCAGCTTTCCTGAGAGAATGGAAGCTCCTTGAGAGCAGGGACCGTCAGTTTTGTCTTTGTATCCCCAGTGCCTAGTATATAACAGACACTCAATAAATGGGTGCTGATTTTTTTGTACAATTTTTCTTTGCAAATGTTTTTACATCTTTTCTTATTGAGTTCTTCCTGTTCTGTTCTCTATAATGATAGTAACTAATAACAGCTAGTATTTATATGGTACTTACTATGTGCCAGGCACTTTGCTAAGTGCTTTACAAATATTATCTCATTTGATCCTCACAATACTGGGTGGCAGGTACTATTTTTATCTCTATTTTACAATTGAGGAAATTGAGGAAAACAGAAGATAAGTGACTTGGTCAAGGTCACATAGCTATGAAATGTCTGAAGCTGGATTTGATCTCAGGTCTTCTTGACTCCAGAGTACTGGGTTAAATATAAGAAATCTGGATTCCCGTTTCAGCTTGGCCATGTACCAGTTGTGTATCCTTGTGAGCAAATCACTTGCCTTTCTGAACCTCAGTTTCCATATTCCTTCTATTTTCCTTTTCTGTTCTTGTCCTCCTCCTCCTTCCTCTTTTTGAGATTAGGTCTTCCTGTCTCACCCAAGCTGGAAGTCCAGCAGACAGCCAATCCACCACTGCTCAGCATGGAAGCTTTGACTTAACTGCATTTCCAACATGGTTTGCCCCTCCTTAGGCAGCCTGGTGGCTAGACATTCCTTTGGACTCACTATATTGATACCAGTCTTCTCAGAATTCAATTGCTCCACCAGCCTCATCCTCCCCAATAGCAGGGATTATGGGTATATGCCATTCACCACACTCTTCCCAGATCTTTCTCGTAAGAACTGCTGTTTAACCAGGCCTCCCTCATTTTGTGCTTGTGAGGCTGATTTTTTTTACCTCAAGTGTAAAGTTTTACACTTATTCCCATTAAACTTCATTTTACTAGATTCAGTCCAATCTTCCAGTCTGTTAACATCTTTTGAAATATGTGACTCTTCCATCTATCTCAATCAGCTTTGTTTAATCTGCAAATTCGATAAACATGCCATCTGTATCTCTTCCAAGTCACTTACAATAACAATTTTAAAGTTAGACATTTTTTATCAGTGTATACTTCTTTCCCTCACAGGGTCCTTGGAAGGATCAAATGAGATAATGTTGATTAAAGTACTTTGTAAACTATAAAACTCTTTATAAATGTAAGGTATTACAATATTATCTCATTTCTGGGCATCTCACCAGCAATTCTTTAATTCTGTACTTAAGTAACGAGTACAAGAACCTCTTGATTAGCTAATAAAATGCCCTCCACCTAGTTAGCATTCATTAAAGGAGAAACACCACCAATTTCACAAGAGTGACTAAAGAAATATGACATAATAGGCCATTATGACTGCCTTGGTGCCTTCAGCTTTAGTCTCCATTGGTTCAGGCCCAAATAGCCTGGGGAGACTCACAAAAGAACCTATAAGGATTTTTAGATGTTCTTTTAAAATTTTAAGACATCCCTCAATCCCAGCAATATCCTAGCCCAAAGCTTGGGTGCACTTGGATTCCACCCAAATACAACTTATAGGCAAAAGACTCAAATTTGGGGACAGGAAGGGACCCAGAGCTAATGATCCTCCCAGTTCCCATTCTAAGCAGACAACCATAGATGTGTGAGATTCAATGGCCAAGGGAAAACTACTTGAAAACTGTTTCCCCAAAAAGAATATAAGCTCTTTGAGAGAAGGTATGGACTACTTAGTTTTTATCATAGTACCCCAGTGCTTGGCATATAGTAGGAGGTTAATAGATGCTCATCAATTGACTAATTTATTGATTGAAATTGCACCGACAGCATCTATCCTGGAGACAATATTCACTGCCTTGAAACAGGTTTGGGGCTTTCTTTGAAAGAAAAACAAGACAATGCCTTTTCTAAGGAGGAAGCAAATACCTAGAATCAATAACTGTCAACGGCAGCAAATCATTTCCAAATGAACTCCCAAAAGATGACCACTTCCATTTTTTTTGGCCTGTCTGAATTTAAATCTAAGAGACAATGGTAAGGGAAAATTAAGATTTTGGTTACAAGTGACAACAAATAAAGCTTCCTCTCAATAGAGACAATATGCAGTCTTCTCCCGGGGAGCCCCTTAGCACAGTACTAGACACCTGGTAAGCATTTAATTTTTCTTTCATTCATTCATTTACCAGCAGAGGCTGGGAAAGAGATAAACCAACATGACTTCTCATGCTCCCAATTCTACCCCCAGCCCATCTCGCTTTCAGCACATAACCACATCTTTTACTTTACTGAGATCAGAGCTATCTCACCTCCAAGCCTATAAACCTCTCGTGTTCTCACCCATCTTCACCAGTCTCCAGAGTATGAGATGGCCCTCCTCCTTGCTAAGTTGCATCTCTATTTTCTTCAAGAAACCTTTCCCAATTCTCCTTAAGGTTAGTGTCTTCCTTCTGAGGTTTTCTCCAATTTATCTTGTATATATCTCATTTGTACATAGTTGTTTACTTGTTGCGCCCTTTAGATTGTGAGCTCCTTACAGGTGGTCTATTTTTGCCTTTTCTTGCGTCTCCAGTGCTGAGCAAGGTATACGCTAGGAACTTTAAAATGCTTGTTGACTTAACTCCACCTGTACTCTGGATTCTATCCCATTCAATTTTTTCTGTGGCCTTTCTCCATCAATCATTTCCTCTCTAATGCATCTTTAACTTCTTATAGTCCCTTACCCTTTGCCTACATATATGCTCTTATTTCCACATTCTAAAAACAAACAAAAACCATCACTTGACTGTAATACCCCACTAAGACACTTCTGAATATTGTACACAGTGCTTTTACTTCCTTCCCCCACCCCCACTCAATTCCACATCTCTGCAATTTGACTTCTGTTCCCATCACTCTCCTAAAACTGCTCTCACCATGGTTCCTAAAGACTTCATTATTGTCCAAACTAAAGCCCCGTTAATAATCATCACTCTCTTTTTACCTTTCTATAGCATGAATCTGTTGACTTCATTCTTAGTGTCACTGCTGCTAAGTCTTGTGTGATTCTAATTGAGGCTCCACCATATTGAATTGGTTTTTTTCTACTTCATTCTTGGTATTCTCCCCTCCCTTGGATTCCTTGACATGGTCCTCTCACTTTCCTCCTATTTCTAGGAATGTACTTTATTCTCTCATCCTTCTTATCCATTAAGGCTCTGTAATTGATCCTCTTATATCTTCCATCTTCACTGTCTTGGAAATCACATCCATTTCCACTCTTTCAATTATAACCTCTGTATAGACAATTCCCACATCAATTTCTTTACTCCCTATTTCTCCCGAGTTGCAGTCCCATATCTGATTATGCAACATAACACAAGTATACTTGATTCATTGTTATTTGAAACCATTTAATTAAGAGTTTGAATAATTCAGATCATGCCACATGAAGATTAGTCATAGAATCTCAAACTATTTGTCTTGAAGAAGAAATAGGGGTGAGGAGAGGGGACATGTGGTTGTCTTTGAGTATCTGAAGGGTTGTCATCTGAAGAAGGATTTCGCTTGTCCTGCTTAGCCCCACAAGGGAGCACCAGGTGCAATAAGCAGAAGCTATGAAGAAACAAATTTGAGATTGATGTAAGGAAAAGCATCCTAACAATCAGATCTACTCCAAAGTGTAATAGGCTGTCTCTAGAGGTAGTTTCCCACTCCCCTGAGGTCTTCATGCAAAGGCTGGAAGACCACTTGTTGAGCGGTAGTTTAAGCATGGGCTATATTAGATGATCTATAAGGTTCCTTCCAACACAAAGATTCTGTCAGTTTCAACTTCCTCTCCGGCTGGATGTTCAAATGGTGCCTCACAAACTTAATGTGTTTAAAACTGGACTCATCAGTGCCTTCTCCAAAGCTGCCATACCCCTTTTCTTTGATATTTCTGTCAGGGCACTAGCATCTTCCTTGATTGAATCTTTGGTTATCTTAATTATCTCTCTTATCCCCCACACTCAATCAGTTAAAAAGTCTTATCAATTCTGCTTTTGCAATATCTTCCCCTATAGGCCACCTCCTCTTCATTCCCAGTGTAACCCCTTGTATCCCTAATATCCAAGTTCTTCCATAATCTTGTTTTTCTAGCCTTAGCTCACATTATAGCCTACATAGACTTCTCTAACTGCTTTTCAGCCTAAGATTAATAAAGGTTAAGAGACTTGCCCAGAGTCAAGTCAAGAAGCTCCTACTATGTGTCAGGCATTGTGCTAATCCCTGGGGATACAAAGAAAGATAAAACAGCTTCTTCCCTTAAGGAACTCACAATTAAATGGAGGAGACAACATGTAAACCATTAGGTATAAATGAGACATATGCTGGCTAAATTGGAGATAATCACAGAAGGAAGGTTAAATAGCATTAAGTGAGAGTGGGAAAGACCTCTTGAAGAGATGGAATCTGAGCTGAGACTTGAAGTAAACCAAGAGATGAGGGGAAAGAGAATTCCAGGCATGGAAGAGGGCCAGTCAGAATTCCTGGAGTTGGGAGATGGGGTGGCTTGTTTGAGAAACAGTAAGGAGGCCAGTGTCACTAGACTGTAGAGTATGTGGAAGTAAGTGAAATATAAGAAGACTAGAAAGGAAGGAAGTGGTCAGGTTACAAAGGGCTTTAAGAACCAAACAGAAGACTTTCTATTGGATCATGAAGGTAATAGGGTCACACAGTATCTGAGGCAGGATTCAAACCCAGATCTTCCTAACATTAAGTTCATTATCCTAGCCACCATGCCTGCCACAGCTCCATGACTTTGTTTAAAGTTTTGGTGAATTCCAAATGTGTCAGATACACCCACATTCAAACCTGGGTAGAAAAACACATCCTAAAACCAGAGTTATTTGGGCTATTTGCCATTTTGGATTAGATGCTCTAAGGGTTCCTGTTCATTTGTTTGGATATTCAAGAGATGACAAAAATGTACAACTGGATAGATTTACAAAAATTATTATTTACATTGGGATCTGCTGACTCAGAGAGATCAATCTGTTAATCACAAACATTTATTATGTGCTTACTATGTGCCAGGCACTGTGCTAATTTAGTGTGGGAGATAATGAAAAAAACTTAAAAATCATGAATTAATGTTACCTTTAGAACAACAAAATACAGTCTTTGGGTAAGAAAATTAGCAGTTACCTACGTCAGATCTTTCTTCACTATGTCAGCAGAGTACTTAGTCACTCTTCAGGGAAGTTATCTGAGCTATGATTCTCAATGACTCTGTGACTTAGGCCTCCAAACTCAATTTCCCCTAAGAATGTCATCAAAAATAATGGGGTCTTACCTCTCAGCTGCTGCGGTGGCAGCAGCGTTCATGGCAAAATGTCGGATGGTACTCTCCTCCAGGTACTTCTGTTCCCACTTGGTCATATCAGCTTCCAGGGCCAAAATCCTCTCTTCCTTCTCCCTCACAAGCTCCATAAGTGCTGGGGCGTTGTGATCTGCCATGTTGCCTGATTGGCCATTTCCATGTCTCTAGAGAGGAGAAAGAAATAATAATCTTGATGCTCAAATGTACTCCAAGGCAGGTACTTTAACTTCTTTCCATGTCAGCCACCCTCAGGGATAAGGGTGCACATGGTCCATGCTTGCAGACCCATAGGTACTATCTGCTCGTATGTAAGAAGACATTTGCACAAATGATTATGCATACTACATACACATGCACTCCCTCCCCCACAGCAACATACAATCAACATGCATTCATGCAAACCCATGTCTATCACACCCCCTCACAAACCAACTTTCTTTCCTGGTTGGAGTCATAAGACCATAGATCCCAAGAGCAGGAAGGGACCTTGGAAGCCATCTAGTCTGCCCCTCCTATTTTAAAGTGAGGAAACCAAGGCCCAGGGAGATTAAGGTCTCCCAGGTGGAAAACATCAGAGGCAGGTAGGATTTGAACCCAGGTCCTTTGTTTCCAAAGTCAAGGCTCTTTCCGTCATACCATGCTGCTTCTTTTGTCAATGGTAAAACCATCATGTTGCAGTCAAGAGGACCTGCATTTGAGTCCTGGCTCTGCCACTTATTCTCTGTGAAACCTGGAGCAAGTCTCTGAACAACTCTTGGCCTCAGTTTCATCATCTGTAAAATAAAGGAGCTGGGAAAGATGAACTCTAAGGTCCCTTCCTTCCCTAAATCTGTGGTCAATTCTCCTAGTGACCTCAAATCTTCAACTCCTTTCCTTTACCTCCTCCCTCCCTCCCCTTCATGGCCTGTCACCAAGTCCTACTGAATTTTTCTCCAAAGCTTTTCTTGTACCCTTTCCTTCCTATTCATTCCCATTGCTATCAGCTCAGTCCACACCCTCATAGCCCCACACCTAAAATATTATACTAGCCACCTTGAGTCCAGTCTGTCTCACACACCACTGTCAGACTGGCTTTTCTTAAGGACTCCTTTAATGATGTCACTCCCTTGCTCAAAAATTTTCAATGACTCCCCACTTTCTACTATATCAAGTCTAACCTAATTTCTTATTGCTTCCCATCACACATCTTCCTTTCTAAACCATGTTGTTCTCATTGTCCCAGATCTTATAGCCTCTATGTCTTAGATCTATACATACAGCTAGTCATCTCATTCCTTTGTTCAAAAACCTTCAATGGCTCCCTACTGCTTACTAAACAAAGTTCAAACATATCATGGCTATCATTGAAATCCTTCTGATAGCTGGTACCATCTTACTTTTTTTTTTTTTTACCATCACCTTATTGCAGGGTAAGGACAGAGTTTTCCTTACCCTTCTTTCTGAAGCACCTAGCAAAATGCTCTCTCTGGACAACTAAGTGCTTAATAAATGCTTATTATTTATCATACTATACTCATTCTCATCTCTATGTTTTCACCATTTTTGTTCTTTTTTTGCTTCCCTTCTTCTGCCTACCCAAATCTTACCCATCCTTGCAGGCATTTGAGCACATCTGAGCATCAGGATTATTATTTCTTTCTCCTCTCTAGAGATATGGAAGCAGCCAATCAGGCAACATGGCAGATCACAACCAAACTCAAGTTTGGTTCCTGAGCTGTGAAGTCTTCTTCAATGTCTCCAGCTCTGACTGATCTGCCTCCTTCCCAAACTCCTCTATTCGGCACCAAACAAGCAAGCATTTAGTCATAATCTGTTGTGTATGGTTCAGTGTTCCTCTGGTTTTCCCAGGTAATCTGTAAATTCACCGAGAGCAGGGTCCATGATACACTTTTCCTGTATACCTCAAAATACTAGGCATGGCTGGGCATATACTCTGTGTGCAATAATGAGCGGTTGTTCAAATGATTGATATACCCACATCTTCACCCGTCCTCGTTAACAGAGAATCTCAGAATCACAGAACTTTAGAGCTGGGAGGGACCTGTGAGCAGTAGCTACAATGAAAAGGACAATGGACCGACTACAAGCGGTAATTCCTAGGTTTCAAGCCTAGCTCTGACACTAAATAATTGCCTCTAGGCCAGTCACTTAATTTCCTGATCTCAGGTTCTTTATCTTCAGAAAGGAAGGGGGTTGGACCAAATGATATCTATGTTCTCTTCCAGAGCTAAAGTTCTATTCTTATTATCTGCCTCCCTTCAATTTAATATTGTCAAAGGATCTTAGATCAAGAGTTGAAAGGGACCTCAGAGGCTCTTCTAGTCCAATCCCTTCATTTTAGAGATGAAGCCCCGGAAAGTTAAGTGACCTGCCCAAGGCAGTAAGCCTCAGAAGCAGGAAATCTCTCTCCACTCTATCTAATCCTGCCTTCTGGGGCCAGTAGGACAAATCAAATTTCCCCCTTCATGTTACCCCTTTGAATACTAGAAGACAACCATTATCCCTATCCTTTGACCTAAGGCCCCAGACTCTTTTCCTTTGGTCTAAACATCTTCAATTCCTTACAGCATTATTACTAGCCCACTCACCACCCTGGTGGACAGTTTACAAACTTCAAGAGGAGACATACATGGGTAAGAACATAGGCATACTGCCAAAGTAACAAGACTGGGAGTTTTCCTCTTTCCCTTCTATGGGGCTGAAATTGGCCTCAAAGAGGAAGTGGGATGGCTGCAGTGAACCTGCACCATAGCTGTTAACACCACCACCCCTCCTCACTTAGCCAACTGGTCCAGGACTAGTACTTATGGTCACTGATATAACTGAGTCAGCTCCCTTTGGTTGCAACTGCAGTGACACCCCTCCTCCCTCCCATATCCATGACACAGAGGCCACCAAGGTCTCCAGGGAAGCAAGAAAAAGGACAGTGGCAACAGCCTACGAAATGAAGCCATTCAGGGATCGTCCTAAGTCTTCTAAAAGCTGGTAATATAATTTGGAGCCACATATACAATGACATCATCCTATTCCTACTCATCTTTTAATGTGACAATATGGAAGAATGTCAATGTTCTTCCCACTGTATCTTCCCATTAAGAGATGGTTAGGAATAGGATGACGTCATTATATATGTGGCCCCAAATTACAGACCTGGGTTCAAATCCCACCTCTGACCCTTACTGTTGGTATGATGCTGGGCAAGTCACTTAGCCCTGTTGAGCCTCAGTTTCTTTATCTGTAAAATTAGGAGTTTCAACTAGATGGCCTGATATCTTTTTTTTTGCTCTAAATCTATAACATTATGATCCTCACAAATCAAGTACCACCCTGGGAGCACAAGTGATGGTCCCTTTCTATAGCTTATTCCAGCAAAGTGGAGGTGAAAGCTGCCTAAGTCCTTCCCTTTGCTTAGCCTGTCTTGTATTTTCAGGAACCCTGACTCTATGAGTCCATTGATGAAACGGCCTGCAGAGCCTCAATACTGGTTCATGGGAGCTCTGTGCCACTAAGATCCCCTTTGGAGCTGAAGCACCAACCACTCCAGGGCTTGGGCTCAGTTCCACAATTGGCCACCAGCTCTGGCATCTGTGGTTAGTCCTAATTTAAGGCAGGACAGAAATGAGATCAAAGCTATACCAGATGCTCCCTCGAATGCTGGAGCATGTGGATTCCCAAACACTGAGGGAGATTCCTTTGCCCCATTCCCACCTGCTCTTGGGAAGCAGAACATGACCTCAATTCCAGGAAAAGAATCACTTTCCCCAAGCCACATTTAGGCCCTGGCTAGCGGGCTTTTTTTGGTCCCGCTCTGTGTAGGGATTGACGGACTGATGTTCTATATCCCAGGGATTAGCCCCAGAAGATAAGCACGCACGGCTACCAATTTACCCAGTGGAACATGGGAGCAGACAGGGAATAAACAAGGTTACTCAGCTTCTGAGAAGAAGAGTAGGACTCCCACCCCCATATGCCCCAGAGATCTCCAGATGACTTCCTCTCCATGTTTATCAGAGTCCCTTGGGAAGGAGAAGACTTGACAATATAATCCTTTATAATCACATAGCACTTTTATTCTAAAACACAAGACCAGAACTCCCTGAGGGTGGAGCTTGTGTTTTCCTCATCAGTCAGGGAGTGGCATGGCCTGACACTTGTCTCACCCACCCTCCCACTTTTCATGTCATAGGCCATTATGGACTCAGAGTAAGGAGTCTTCAATTCTAACCCTGACTCCAGCATTAACTAATTACATTACCCTGGGCAAGTTACTTTTCTGTTATTCAGTTTCCTATCTAAAACAAGGATAGTAACAGTTGCCCTGCAATCTCTGAGTGTTTTATGAGAATCAGATGAAAAAAATATGTAAAGGAACCTTGAAAAGTACAAAGTGGTATATAAAGCTAAGGTCGTATCTTGTTTTGTTTTGTTTTGTTTTGTTAGGGGGAGGGAATGATAAACCCGTCATTTTATTGATATAGGGAACTCTCTGAGTGGACTCTTTCTATCAGAGCAGATTAGCAATTGTTCCATAACGTAGAGGGTGGCTTAAAGCATTGGTAGGTTAAGTGACTTGCCCAGGGTCACTTTAAGTGTCAGAGGCACGACTTGAACCCAGATCTTCCCCACTGAAGGAGGCTCTTTATTCACCACACTATGCTGCTTCTCAAAGGTATTATTGTTACTGCTATTGTTACTATTATTGTTAAAGACTGGTCATAGAAAGACTCAAAACTAGTAGATTTCAGCTCTACCATTTAAAAGCTGTTGACCATGGCTTTGACCTCTCTGAGGCTTACTTGCTTCATCTGTAAACTGAAGACAGTAACACCTGCACTATCTACTCACCCTTGCAGGACCATTGTGAGAAAAGTGCTTCTCCAATACAAAGCATCACCCAAGGGTGAGTTGTTATTGTTATAGTTTCCATTTCACAGATGAGAACAAAGAAGCTGTGACTCTCTCAATGCCATACAGGTGAAATGTGACAAAAAGCTAAGGCAAGGAGTCAGGCCTCTTGATTCCTATCCCCTGTACTTTTGCCCAGAACTAGTGGAAATGATTATATTTATGCTTCATTCCTTCTGTGGCTGAAATTCTCAATAAAACATCCAGTTCTGAGTCATAATCAACTTTACTTTTCCAACCAGTCCCTCCGTTCCCCTAG